ATTGGTTCCTTGCTTCTCGGGTAGATGCACTTCAACTTCGAAGGAAACCCCCAATTAGTCAACTGTTAGGACATGCTTGTTGGGGAGGTAGTAGGTCTATTCTTGTTTTCCTCACAATGGGGCCCCAGAACCCACGCGGGGAAAAAGTCTACTAATCAGGAGTGTTTCCTTTAATATGGGAATGCGTCTGCCCGAGAGGCGGGAAACCAACAGTCTACTTGTAAATGCATCAGATTTGTTGTTGTTGTTGTTATCGATCCAGCGGCGCATGAGCTTTCGCCCTTTGGCCCAATGCCATGTAGTGGAATAAATCATCAGATTTGTAAAACGGATTTGCAGGCAAAACTCAAGTTCTGGAGCAAGACCAAAGTCCGGAGCTTTCCACTGGAGATCTGGCAGACACTCAGGGAAAAGGCGAGACGGATATACATTCAAACAGTTACTTGTGCCATCGTAATTGGAACTCCTCGCTTACTGCTGAAGACAGTGTCCCGAGTGCTATGATGTCGATTTTAATTCATTATTTGCTGAGTGACACAAGATGTGAACCTTCAAAGAATGAAAAATCCATCATTGACTACGCCATAGTTAGGAAAAGTTCATTCAAGTTTGTGGGAGATGCCAGAGTCATGAGAGGACCAGAGATTGGAAGTGACCACTATCTGGTCACAATAAAGAGAACAACTGAAAGAACTGCTCCAACAAGGCAACACCGACAACCATGCAAGAAACCAAGCAACCAAGAAGGGATGAGGATTAAAGCATACAAGCTAAGAGAGCCAGATATTAAGGCTAGATACCAAGAGCTTATAGTGAAAGCAATAGGAACTGAAGAAGAATCATCAGAGGACACTGAAACCCTCTGGTGCAGATTCAAGAATATCCTTACAGCAGCTGCAGTAGAAGCATGTGGTGAAGTCCCAAGTGGAAGGCGGGGACACAGGACACCTTGGTGGACAGAAGAAGTCAAATTGAAAATAGGAGAAAAGAAAAGGGCATGGAAGCAATACCTGGCAGCCAGGAACACAGCTGAAGAAATAGAAAAATATAAACAATATGTGGCACTCAGAACAGAGACCAAAAATATTGTGCTTAAAGCAAAACAGAAATCATGGGAAGAGTTTGGAGAAAAGTTGGAAAAGAATGCTAGAGAAAACCAAAAACTGTTCTACAAGACCCTTAAGAACATGAGGAAGGAGAAAGAGTGCCCACTTAAATTCATAAAAGACAAGGAAGGGGCTCTGCTTACTTCTACAAATGATATCATGGGCAGATGGAAAGAATACTTCTCAGAGCTCCTCGGCGTTGAGGGAAGTCATGACCCAGAAATAATGGACCTCACTGCTGAGAAGGAATTCAATCATGGGGAAGATAACATCAGGTTGGAAGAATTGAAGGCAGCTATTGAGAAGATTAAGCTGGGAAAAGCAGCAGGTCATGATGGTATAACACCAGAGATGGTCAAATATATGGGAGTCGAAGGTGAGCGCCTTCTACTGAAGGTTCTCCAGGCAGCCTGGTGTAGCAAAACTATACCAAAAGATTGGGAGATTGCCATCATTATACCTATATTTAAAAAAGGTGATAACAGACAATGTGAAAACCACAGAGGCATATCCCTCCTCAGCGTTCCCGGTAAAAGTTACTCTAGAATTCTTGAGCAGAGACTTAGAAGTCTGGTAGAGCCACAGCTGGACGAGGCCCAATGCGGCTTCAGAGCAAACCGAAGTAATCAAGACCTTATCTTCACACTGAGACAGATTAGTGAAAAAGCCCTGGAATATAAGAGTGAGATGCACTTATGTTTTTTGGATCTGGAAAAGGCATTTGACAAGGTACCCTGGAACAAGCTCTGGGACTGCTTGGCAGGGAAAAACATCCCAGCACCCCTGATCAGTGCAATACAGAGTTTCTACAAAAAGTGCAGAAATTATGTAAGAACAGCAGACCAAAAGTCAGAAGAATTCAAGACTGCCAGCGGTGTTAGACAAGGTGATATTCTCTCACCTTACCTCTTCATTCTTATGGATGATGTCATCAAGACCTGTAAGGAGAAGACAAAGAAGTACTCTGTAGGGTACTGGAAGATGAGACCAATCTGTATATCAGAGCTGGCTTTTGCAGACGATGTGGCCCTGATAGCTAAATCAGAGGCACACCTTCAGTCTAACTTACTTGTCTGGAAGGAAGAGCTTGAAAAGAAAGGGATGACCATCAGTGTCTCCAAAACTAAAACCATGGTGATCTCAAGAGAGGAGAAAAAACACCAGATCATGATGGGACAGTATGCGTTGGAGCAGGTTAACCAGTTCAAATACCTTGGAGTTGTATTAGACCAAAATGGAGGCATTAAGACTGAGCTGGCTACACGAAAAGCAGCTGCTGGGAGACTCTTCCAGGCCATAAACCGAGGGTTTCTTAGCAAAAGAGAAATTGGCAAGAGGACGAAAATGGCTGTTTACCGCTCTACCTATGTACCAGTCCTGACCTATGGGTGTGAGTCATGGGCAATGACAACAGCTCACAGAAGCCAGCTGCAGGCCTCGGAAATGAGATACCTGAGAAAGGTGGTCCAAATGACAAGAAGGGACAAAGTCCGCAATCAGACAGTACGTCAAGATCTTGATACCCAGCCTTTAGTAACCCGAGTAGATCAGTCACAGTTACGATGGTTTGGACATGTGTGCAGAATGGGAGAAAATCGGCCACCATGGCAAGCATGGGAGGCTAAGAACCAGGAAACCAGACCTCCGGGACGACCCAGGGTGCGCTGGGAAGACAACATCCGACAGTCCCTAACTGACAGAGGACTGGAATGGAACAAAGCCAGAAAGACAACTGCTGATAGAGACGTCTGGCGATCTCTCTGGCAAACCGCTACACCCCGAGGTAGAAGAGGAGCGACTAAGTAAGTAAGTAAGTAAGTAAGTAAGTAAGTAAGTAAGTAAGTAAGTAAGTAAGTAAGGAAGTAAGTAAGTAAGTAAGTAAGTAAGTATTTGCTGAGTGAATTACAAAAGACAGTGAAGTTCATACTAGAGACAACATTGCAGATATAGATAATCTATTTCAAGCAAACGAAAGAAGAAGAATTCAACCTTCCACTGGAAATATGTCTTTGATAAAAACAACTAGAACATTTGATTATATATGCAAGGCTTGTAAACACAAGGTGGGTTGTTTGAAACTAAGAGTTTTTTACAGGGTCTCCCCAATTTACAACCAAGTTCTGTTTCAACTAACAGATCGTAAGCCGAATTGATATTTAAAAAAAAATTTTTTATTCTTCTTCTTCTATGTTTATCTGAAGATGTACATGTGCTGCACCCGTTTACAACATGGTTACAATATTTGCACCTTTTGGCCGACACATCTGACTTTAGCAGGCATTTGTTGTCCTGGTTAGCCTTCCTAGCTATTTTCTCCTATGCATTCTCTGGCTGTAAGCTCCAGCAGACAGATCTGGATATTCGTCCACCTCTGGACTTTAGTCTTGTTCCAGAAACTGAGTTGCATGCACTTCCCTTTCACAGATATGGATTACCTATATGCAGACTTGTGGTTTCTTGCCTCTCAGATGCACTCCGATTTTGAAGGAAGTTCCCCCAGTCAGCTGACTCCTATTACATGCTTGTTGGCGTGGCAGTGAGTCTATTTTTGTTTTCCCCACAACAGGAACTCGGAACTTACACCAAAAAAAGTCTACTAATGAGTGCTTTCTTTAAAGTGGAAACGCATACAGGGAGGGCTATTTTAATTTACCAGAGATAACAAGTTTACATAAAATGCAAAAAGTAAATCTATGTACATATAATGAGTGCACATAATATGAAAAATACATAATATCAGTTCCAGCAATTTTCTGACCCTACCAGTGTAGTTACCATATTTATTTCCTAATTGTGTGTGTGTGTGTGGTCATAAGTCAAGGAAACGGTGTAACTGCTGGCATTCATTGGAAATAATCAGTCATATTTCACACATTTCTTGGGATAAATGAGTGAAAACATTGTGATTAATTCTTAGTGGAAAGGCGAGATGAACATATAAAAAAATACAACTGACTCCACAAACACTAGAATTCTGTGCTGGCTGCATTTATGAGAATGCCTCAAGTGCTCTCATGTCAGATCTCAACTCATGTCCCCCCCCCCCCCCCCCCTCCCCTAACAAAAACAATGACTCCTGAGATAAAAAGGCTGGCTCTTGAATTTTTTTTTTTTAAGGGTTTGTCTATCCCGGCCCAAAATTCTGTTTCACCAGCAGGCAGGAAACAATAAAGTTATTTCTTCTTTGTACACACTGACTATAAACAGCATATTCACACCAACACTGTGCCACAAATACCAGACTTGGACATTATCAAAGGCAGAATTAACACCTGTGAAATGAGATGCCTGAGAAAAATTGCCAATTTAACCATCCAAGACAAAGTTACCAACTATATTATTAGACAGACTGTGGGAACAACGTCATGAAGCAAATTCATTTAGAAACAGAAAATCAAATGGTTTGGTCGTCTAGTAAGAATGCAGTCAGAACTGCCAACGCAGGTGCTACACATGAAAAAGTGAAAGCAAGAGACCGCCACAGGAAAACATGGATTGATGACATTAAAGAGCTTTCTACATCAACAATGGAATGACAATAATCTCTACTGCTCATCAAGCAATGTATCACAAACTGTTCCTTCCCGCACCCTGTGTGGGTTCTGGGGCCCCATTGGGGGAAAACAGGAATAGGACCACTGCCTTCATAACAAGCATGTCGGAGTCAACTAACTGGAAGCTTCCTTCAAATTCAGAGTGCATCTGCCCGAGCGGCATGGAAACAACCAACTGCACATAAATAAGCCAGTAAAAAAGATGCACGTGCAAAATTCAGACCTTGGCACAAAGTCAAAAGTCCAAATGGACGTACAACCAGGACTTTCCACCGGAGCTTACAGCCATAATGTTTAACAGCAGAAGTGGATATTGTTGGTACAAATATTGTCATTTAATTTACATAAAAACATGGAGTCTGCCGCTGGAGTTGGCACCAACCAATGTGCAGGTTCTGTTGGGGTGAAACATGTTGAGGCTACAGACGGATCCCAGAAGATCCTCATTTTTCAAAGCTTTAAGCAGAACACCATCAGCACTGAAAACCTCGATCTGTCTCGGCCGCGACATGGAGCCAGATACAAACACATCCTCGACTGTAGGATGCCAGGTTGGCTGAAACTTGGTCAACCAACGTCCAGTAAAGTTATTGTGGTGCATCCGCTTGATGAGTTCAAGCTTACATTCCGTACCCACAGAGTAGACGAGGATTGTATCATCTGAGGAACTGGAAAGTACTTTGTGACCTGTGGGTGAAAAATAGGCACAAGAAAGAGCTTTAGTGTGATGCTCTAACTTTTGAACCGGCTTGGCAGATGTGGACGAGATGCTCCGTAAATCCCATAAGAGAATCTTAGCATCGACTCCAGCCGTGATAAAGTAATGAGGATAGGTTGGGTGGACACTGACTGTACGAAGGCTCTTTGCACTGACATGGTACACCTGCTCTGCGGAAGTCGACGGTGTCCTGGTGTCCACCAAGGAAACATTACCGCTGAACTGAGACACTAGCATTGTGCTGGTAGCATCGATAAAACTAAAGTTTCTGAACAGGTCCTCCTTTTCGGCAGCAACTGAAAACACTTCATCAAAGACTTCTCGTTCAAAGTCACAACGACGCAAGGTTGCATCGTAACTACAGCTGTACAGTTTGTGTGGATCCGCTGGCGGAATAAACAGATCGCTAACTGGACTGATGTGGGGTTTGAAGACCCTCACAGTGTCCTGATCTCTGATGTTGCTTGATGTGACATCCCAAAACCCGATGTGACCATACTTATCTCCAGCAACAGAAATAAGTGTGTGTGACGACGGATGCCATGTAAGAGAAAATACTCGGCCAGGCACAACTTTCGCAATCCTTCTCTCTGTGATTGCCACTTTCTCCAAGGCGGACTGAAAAACTTTTCTAGACACTGGTGCCTGCATCTTCTCAGGTTTTGTTTGAGATATCAGTGTTGAAAACACCCTCACGTAATCATCCGTTACACCAACATCACTCTTCGAATAGACACAATCTTTCATAGCAACAGGCCCGGGTGGTAACCTTGACTCTCTTGCTTCCTCAAAAACTGATTCTGGTTCTGGCACAGGTTTGCCAATGGGATCTTTGTGTCTAATTCTCAGACTGCAACGTCGAGGAAGAGGAGTCTCTGGCTCCTTGTGGATTTTTAATCCTCTCTGGGATGGCTGAATCTTCTTTTTAACTGACAATTGTAGTGCTTCTTTGGCTTCATCGAGTCCAAGACTGGCAAAGAAATCCTCATTTGCTTTTACGTTTAGTTCTCTTATTCTCTGGTAATTCAATAACTCTTCTTTTTCTAAAAACTCTTCCTTTACATCAAACTCTTCCCTTACATCAGAGTTTGAATACAATTTCAAAATATTTTCCTTACTCTCGTTTTCCCTCTCAGCTCTGCTTTCGCTAAACGAACGCTCAGATTCTTGCAATCCTACTTCTTTCTTTGGAGTGGGCGGAGATTGTTCATTGGATACCAGCTTTCTCCGCTTATTTGGTCGTTCACCAGTTGTCAAAGTGGCGCGTAGTTCCTTATTCTTATCTGTCCTGTTGCTAAATCTCACTGCTGTTTGAACAGCAGAAACAGAACGTCTAGTTTTTATACTTTGTACTGCTGGTTCATCATCAGCACCAACTGATTCTATCGTTTGCAGAGCTTGACTTGCCAAATCCCGTTTACCTCTACCTCTAGGTTTAGTGGAACTAACAGTATCTGAAACAGGAAGCGGTATCTCGGAATTATTACCACATTGCGAAGTTTTATCAGTAGAAGCAGCACGTCTATTTCTCATATCCTTTACTGCTGGTTCATCATCATCAACTGTTTCTATCGGTTGTAGAATCTGTCTTGCCAAATTCCGCTTCCCTGTAGTCCCACTGACAGGCACTTGAGTTTCGGAACCACTGCGACTGCGACACTCCGATATTGTTTTCACTTGGCTGCGTCGTTCTGATCGTCTCATTTTATCAGTGCTGGTATTTACTTGTAACTAAAACATCAAACACTTCTTTCTAGACCACACAAAATCCTTTCAGAACTACAACAGGTTCTGGTGAAAATTCAAGTTTTAGCGAGAACATACAACGACAATCGTCGACATTGAGGAACTGCAAGGCAGAAACTAAAACCGCGCCAAAAGTCTGGGTATGGGTTGCCAGATAAAAACAAAAACATTTATTTTAAGCAAAACTGCTGCCCAAAATACGCCAGAAAACGCCAAATAAACTGTAACACTACACACTTCACTCTAAAAGCTCTATATTGAATTCCTGATTGTCATCCTCACTGGAACAAGTGGAGGATACACGTAAATCTTTTTAGCCTCGAGTGCAGGCGATATAACCATGTTTATTACGCATGAATATATCATCATCATCATCAGTTCTCGTTATGCCTAGTGGCACATGAGGCTTCAGAGAGGACTTTCCATGCTTATCTGTCCTGTGCAATCTTCAGTGCAGTTTTCCATGTCAAAGATGCCGCCGCATTCAGGTCACTTTCCATCGTTCGTTTCCATGTTGTTTTTTGGGCGCCCCTGTTTTCTCTTTCCCTCTGGTGTCCATGTGAGAGCTGTTTTGGCAGGTATATCAGAAGTCATTCTCATAACGTGGCCAAGCCATTTTTATCTTCACTTGGTAATCATACTGTCTAAAGTTTCTTGGTTTGTGGCTTGAAGTAGTTTAGTGTTTGAGATTGTATCTGGCCAGAAAAGTTTGATAATTCTACGTAGACATGTGTGGTGGAAGGTGGACAGCTTGTGTGCATCCTTTTTGGTCATTCTCCAGCATTCCGCTCCATAAAGAAGAACTGGCAAAATGATGCTCTTGTAAAGTCGAGTTTCGTTCCTCTGCAGTAATTGTTGGATTTCCAGATTTGCCTCATCCTTCCAGAAGCAGCTCTAGCTTTGTTCAGACGTGACTGTATGTTTTCCTCTGTCCCTCCCAGCAGGGACACCACACTGCCAAGATATGTGAAATGTTCTACATTTTCAAGTGATTGGTTACTTATGGTCACTGGTTGTTTGTTTGGACTGTTTGTCATGATCTTAGTTTTCTTTGTATTTATTCTCAGTCCCACCATTTCTGCTGTGCAGTTTAGTCTGTTACTTTTCTCTTGTATATGTTCATGAATATTTATTTCTTTGCAACTGTGTGTGTTCCAGTGTACTCCCCCGGCCATGCGCTCTCACTTAGACGATCAATTGTGCTTATTGCATTATGTCAGACATGCTTACAGCAAGTTGCAACACTGCTGCCTTTACTTTATCATTACTTTGCCTAGCAGTCATTGTTGTAATAAGCTGTGACTGGCGTTTTGACGGGACTTTTCATCCTGTAATTTTCGCATATTTCATCATTTGATATGTTACTAATTCTTGGCGCAACAGTGCACTGACACAGTTTACAATATGCTGCCTCTGATCCGTCTGAAGATTTTTTGAGCCGTGAGTATGTTTTCTCTCAGTTACTATTATGCTTGCGATTGCTATAATAAGATGCTTTCCATTTTTTCCACCAGCTGTAAACTCTGGCGGACAGTTCTGGTTGTTCGTCCACTTTTGGCCTGAAGTCCTGTTCCAGAACCTGAATGTTGCGTGTACATCCGTTTTACAGATCTTACTTTTTTGTATGCAGACTCCTGGTTTCTTACCATTCAGGCAGATGCATTCCGACTTCAAAGGAAGCTCCCACTTAGTCGACTCTTACGACATGCTTTTGGGTAGGCGGTGGGTTTATTCTCCCTCCCCTGCCCCATTATAGGGCCCTACACGGGGAGGTAAAAAGTAATAAAATCTATCACAAATAGAACTAGGTCTATATCCTCAAGTAGACAGTCTGAATCACTTGAAATCTGTTGTGGGTTTTGGTTTTATATCCTGCATTTATTCTAATAAATTACAGAGGGATTTGGTTTATTGAAGTCACGCTTCGTTTAGGAAGAAAGCAAGAGATGGCGCGAATCTCCGTTAGTCCGTACCAGGTCATCACAACAAAGTCAGACTGAAATAAAGATGTTAACTGTAGGCCTACACTGCTTTTAGTAAATCTGCGAGTTTTTCACGGAGTAACTTTGAAGAAAAGTTAGCACGTCTTGTTTAGAAAAGTCAGGAAAAACCACAAAATTACGCCAGCTCATTATTTAATTTCAAATACGCCAAATTTGCGGAATTTGGCGTCAAATACGCCAGTATGGCAACCCTGGTCTGGGTGGACTAAACACCGCGCCACAACAAATCTGTCAATGAAACAGTCAAAGAAGCCAACGGCGCCTTCTCCATGACAACCAGAAGCATGACGATGGAGGTGATGGCAGTGACACAAGCGCTTGCCTGGCTTGAAACACAAAAATACACCCGCGTGTGTATACTCAGTGATTCAATGAGTATGATCCGGAGGGTTCAGGCAGGTTCAGTGCGAAGACAATGGCTTGAATCATTACAGAAGTCCACTGTCCGTGGAGTCACCTTTATTTTTGTTCCGGGACACGCAGGCGTCGATGGAAATGAAAGAGCTGACAGGTTGGCTGGATCCGCTATCACTACCGACGGTCAGCCTATGGATCATGCTGATATTATCAATGCCCTCAGAGAAATGGGAAGGATAGACGACTTTGGTGGCAGTGAATCCACATCACTCGCCAGAATGGCAGACTTGGGAATTAAGATCGGCACAGCAAAAAACGAGACGCACACCAGCTACGCCAGAAGACTTGTTAATCAACATAGAACTGGTTCTATTAGCCATCGGACGTTGGGGTTCATACTGAGGGGAGGATCTGAGCACTTATGGACATGTCCGGAGTGCAATGAGGATAACCCAACTAACTAACTAACTAACTAACTAAATCTGTCAATGAAATATGTCGTAACCATTGCTGTTTTTTTTTCTTCTTTTTCTATGACAGGAGCACTGAAAAATAACGTGTCGACTCGAAAGGTCACTGGTAGAAGAGGCAGACCAAGAGGAATGATGGTGGATGGCTTAAGACAGTAGCACAAAGGAATATCATCAGGGTAACTGATCCAGAAGGCCAAAGACTTAGATCTGTGGAGATGCATGAACGCCTACGCCAGCTGACAAGGCACATGATGATGATGCTGATGACAAAAGTAAAAAGGTGCCGGTACTCACCACAAAATGTCTGGAAAATGCCTTTACTCAAAGCGTTGAAAAGACCTGATGCCTAAACAATAATGCATATACTGCGAAACCTTGCCTACTCATAGAGGGGGGGAGAAAGCCCTGATTTTAACTAGCTATCAGCATTTTTAATGTTGAATTAAGAATTGACATCATAACACTTGGAACAATCCCATAAGTGCTTCGTCCCCATCTTCAACAACAAGCGAAGAGTTCAAACTCCGACAGTACCAGTAACTGTCTCATTGTACATTCCTCTCGCCTTTTCCTTGAGTATTGAGCGTCGGCCAGATCATTTGGTAACTCCTTGCAGTACCATTCTCCCCGAATTGTAATGGTCCGTCTGTGCCTCCGCACTGTTCACTCCCCCCCCAGAGGGCGCTCACAATATCTAGCTTGTCATACACTAGTTCACCACCAAATGGTGCAGGAAATGCCACTCTTTCTTCCTGCTCATTTCCCAATGCAACAGCACAACATCTAGAAAATATCCAAAGTACGCTAACTACCCGGGAACTCTGAAGTGATGCTTGCCACTCTGCACGGATTATTATAGTCTGCGGTAACAATTCTTTTGTGCGTACCGAGGCCCATACTGAAGGGAAAACAATAGATCCACTGTCCCCTTACAAGCATGTCGTAAAAGGTGACTAACTTGGTTTGCTTCCTTTCAAGTCGGAATGCATCCTCCTGAGAAACAAGGAACTATCAGTCTGCATACAAATCTCGAAAACGGATGTGCACACAAAAACTCAATTTATGGAACAAGACCAAATTCCAGAAGTGGACGAGCAAACAGTACTTTCCGCTGGACATTACAGCCAGTGAACGCTAAGCTGTGGTACTGGAAAAGTTCCGCCTTTTGAGCTCCACTCCCAGAAAATTGGGGTGGAGTTAATGAGCTTTGCTACATCCCCTTAGAAAATTAGCGAGGAAGTTAAATGGTCCCAGTTAACCAAGTATACAAGTTTTCCTGTACTGTTTGTTTATAAATTTTGTATTTATAATTTTTCCCCCTCAAATATATTTTATATTTCTGTGGCACTGAGCACATTATCACCATTATTATTATATATTTAAACAAGATTTACCACCTTTAGCAATATTTTAGACAATTTTCAAAGTGGCCTAGCATCTTCCTCTGCCCGTGTTTTTTTCCTCTTTTCACTACAGGTAGGCTAGACATAGAAACACTTGGAGTTACTAAAAGGTGATATCCTCAGTGGTCAATAGGTACTTGGTCCTTTCCAGGTCTGCAGGATTAATACCTCATAGATAAGAATCAAATATAAATTGGAGAATCAGCAATGTGCACATGTGGACTGGCACCTGAGACAACAGATCACATCCTCTGAAGACTGTTCCAGATACAGCATTGCCAAGCAGAACTTCTGGCCAATAGAGGCACTGGTGGAAGCCAAACTTTACGGACCACTAAGTGAATGATAAAAGTCAGTAAAGTTTGTAGTAGAGACAGTACTGCAGATATAGTTACTTTATTTCAAACAAACGAACTGTGAAGGTAAGGTTTTTATTTCTGCCCTTAATGCGTTTAATCCATCATGGACCAAAAATGTGGATGTCAACTCGAGGTCTTAATTCTCCCCCAAAGCTTAGTTGTCAGATTTACTGGGTGTGGTCACATATTTTT